GAGGGCAATGAATGTACAAATGTGCTTTACACAATTGATGTATGTATGGATTATGGTAAGAGTTGTATGAGCCCCTAATATAATGATTTAAAAAAAAAAGAAAGTATGCACAGAAAAACTAAACTATCTATACATTGGCAATGGTGACATTCTTCATATTGTGCCACCATTCTCCCCATCTTTGTCCATATTGGCTTTGCCAACTTTAGTAGCTTCAACCCTCCACCCCTTTAAGTCTTTGGGACTCACTAGTGACCATTAATTTCACAGAGATAGGTCTTAAAAAGAGTGCAATGCTCAAGGCAAACATTATTAAATGAGATAAATTGTTGTTTAAGATGACTTCATGGGATATTTTCAGTTCACGACTTAAAGGTTGTTGCCAGGCAATAGATTTAGGGGCTTCTTCAGTCTCAAGGTATCTAGACGGTCTGGTTTTCAATAAGAATTTGCTCCTTTTGACCAAGATCCAACTCCTGAGTCTGCTTCTTTTGACTTTCTGAGAAATGGCCTGCAGTCCTTTTTCTTGGTTGCTCCCGAGGAATAAAAACCAACTGTCAAATTGTGAGTGGCTGCTTGCAAACTTTCTGAAAGAGTTTTTTATTATGAATAAAGTGTAGTGTTTAAATGTGAGAAAAACAAGTTTTCACTCAACAGTTGAAATGCCTTATCATCCCCCCCCATGCCATATTCTATACACCTCCTCCCCTGATTTCTCTTCTCCCTTTTTATGGGTTTCTATCTCCCCTTCCACGAAAGACAATGTCTACCTGCTAGTCAACCTTAAACTTTCCATCCTTGCCTTTTCTTCCTTGGGAACCTCCAAGGTCTATTCTCTTTGGTATACACATCTTTGTCTTGGTTTCTGTCCGTATAGCAGCAGTCTTATACAATATTTGTCCTTCTGTGACTGACTAACTTCACTCAGCATAATGTTCTTCATGTCCTTCCTAGTCAAGAGGTGCTTCACAGTTTCATCCTTGTTTTTTTTTAGTAACGAATATATTGCCTCGTGTGCATGTTCCTTTTTCTTTTTTTTAAATCCATTCTTCTGATTGGCCTTTGGGGTGATTCCAACTTCTTGCTATATTGAACAATAGTGTGATGAACACAGGAGTGCACACATCTGTTTGTATTATGTTTCTTAGTTCTTGAGGGTATAAACCCAGCAGATGTACTGCTCGGTTGTATGGAATTTCGATTCTCTGTTGAGATAGCACCATCTCCCTTTTGACAGGAGTTGTACATATTTACAGACCCACCAACAGTATATGACAGCTTTGCTCTCTCCTCACCCTCTCCAGCTGTTGTTGTTTTGCATTTGGTTGTCATTGTCTATATAAGGTGATATCTCATTGTTTTGATTTGCATCTCCCAGATAGTTAATGACTGTAAGCATTTTTTCAGATGTTTATTACCCATTTGGATGTTATTTTTGGTGAACTCTGTTCATATCATTTGCCCACTTTTCAAATTGGATTATTTGATTTCTCTTTCTTTAAAAAAATTTTTTTTTCTTACAAACCCTTGTGTTGAGGGCTGATTTTCAATAGATCGCAGTGAGGGAGCTGCTCTGTTATGTAAGAAACCCCGACCCAGAAGCAGGTTGTCTAAGTATGGCTTAGCACCAGGCTTCCCACTAACACGCGGTGCATGATGGGGGAGGGGGCGGCTGCCTTTCCGGCCGCGCCCTTGTTTGGTTTTTCTTATTGCCCTTTTATATGGACTTGAGAGATTTGTCCCTTTTCTGTTGCATCATTGCTAAAGATTTTTCCCCAGTCCGTGGGTTCGCTTTTTACTTTTGTGATGAAGGTTTTTGCACATAGCTGTCTGGTGTAAGAAGGTCTGTCATCTATTTTTCTACTTTGTGTGCTTCTTAGTTGATAGGGTCTATTCCCTGCATAGACCCTAGGTGATGCCTTTGCTTTTTAAGAAAGCACTCTTGTGCAGTAGATCTGCCCAATGGAACACATTGTTTGATTTCTTGACTGTTGTTTCCATGAGCATTAATGGTGGAGCCAAGCAAATAAAATTCTTGACAATTTTAATCTTTTCACCATTTATCATGATATTGTCTATTGGGCCCGAAGAAGGGATAGACTGTCCACTTCTGAGGGTTGAGTCGCTGTTCGAATAGCAGCAAAACATGGCCAGATAGTGTGCCAAACAGTCCTTCAGGTTGGGAGACATTCAAAATACGACTGGGGAAGAGTTGCCTCTTCAAAGGAGAATCAACCACAATGACGTTGGTGGAATACAGATTTGGGGCTTTAATTTGCTGATGACTCTAAATGAGACGAAAAAGGTGCAAATGTCTATTAACAATTGGCACTTGGAACGTAAAGTATTAATGTAGGAAAATTGGCAATTGTCAAAAATGAAAATGGAATGCATAAGATCAATATCCTAGACATTAGTGAGCTGAAATGGCTGGTACTGACTATTTTGATTCGGACAATCACAGGGTTTAATTTGCTGGGGATATCCTACTACCCCGGGGCCTCTTTTTTTTTTTTTCCCCCAGGGCCTCTTGAACTGCGGTTTAACCGACATTCCGAAGGCAGAAAGTTACACAACTTTCAGTTAGGGATTACTCGCATTGCACGGGCCGTCGCACGAGGCTCGTCGCCCAAGATTTGCTCGCTCGGCCGCGGCGAATTGTGGGGCAGATAGTTCAGGCCAGTGCGAAGCTTCCGAGCTCAGAAGCTAGAGAACTACATTTCCCAGCAAGACCCGCGCAGCCACGGGCGCGGGTTGCGTGCGTAAGCGACCCAACTTCCGGGCGAGCTGTGGGTGGGGCCGCAGCGGAGTCTTGAGTGCGGCGGCAGGATGCAGCGCCCCGGCCCCTTCAGCACCCTCTACGGGCGGGTCCTGGCCCCGCTCCCCGGGCGGGCCGGAGGCGCGGCCTCGGGTGGAGGCGGCAACAGTTGGGCGTCTCTGGGATCCCACGTGCAGCCGCCCCGGCGCTCGCAGTCCGAGTCCGGTGGAGGCACCGACGGCACCAGCACTCGTAGCGGCATTGTCGCCCCCGTTTTCCCGATCTTCTCCACGATGTCCAAGGCTGAGGAGGCCAAGAGACTCGCGGGCCGCGCGGCCGTGGAAAACCACGTGAAGGTGAGCAGCTCGGGGCGTGGGGCGCCAGCCGTGGCGTGATGGGCTCCAGTGGGTCGTCGGGCACCGTCGGGGCGCGCCTACTTTCTGGCAGGCTCGAGAGCCTGAAGGCCTTTTAGCTGTGCATTGGTAGAGGGCTAGCCCTGTAGAAATTGAGTTGCTTGGTGGGTCGGTAGTAGAAGGGAGTCTGGTGGTTCGTGGTATTTGGGGTGGGGACACAAGAGGATTGTCGCGTGGCAGCCTGATCCGTAAATGGAAAATGGTCGAATTTTGGAGTTGTGAAGAGATCGGGTCGGTCTGCTTTTTTCACTGCCCCGGGGAAGCCGGCGGCGAGCTCGTTTGCAAAATTCTTTTGAAATTTCACTCCGTAGAGATTCTTCGGGTGCTTTGCGTCCGCCCGAGTGTCCGCGGGAAAGATAAAGATGGGTGGACCCTTTGGGTGTGGAGGGTGCTGTTGTTACTTGGTGAGGCTGTGACCACTTGTTTATTAAGCCGTGGGTGTGGTGCCATCACACCAGACCACACCAAACCAGCTGCCGTGAAGAGGGTTCCTATTCACGGTGACCCTACAAAACAGTACAATTGCCCCGTAGGATTTCCAAGGCTGTAACTCTTTACGGAAGTTTAATAATAATTTACCGTTGCCCATTTGATTGGCAGCAGAGCACTTGTAACCGGAGTGGATTTACTGTCATTAATCAAAGTTAATTATCTTAATTATTGCACCTCGACAGAGGCCAAATGGAGTATCTCAGTCCCGTAGTGGGGTTTCTTTGGCTTCGCTGGTTTTTCGTCTTCCTCTTGTACTTCCTTGAAAGTTGTATCAGATTCCTTTTCTCCTCTGATCATAGTTCTTTACGTTTGTTAATGATTTACTTTAGAGTTATTTTATATAAGAGATATTGAACGTTGTGATTAGATGCTTGGGGCTGGTTTGATAGCCTTAGTGCCATTTGTTGATGGGATGGCCCAGAATCCAAACTGGCCATCCAAACTGAAGGTATCTATCCCTCTTCAGACCTTCTCAAAAGAGCCCTACTGAGTGCTTACATTTGGGCTGCTAATCTCAAGGTCAGTTGTTCTAAACTACCAGCCTGAGGGTGAACTGTTGAAGCTTTCCACTCCTGTAGAAAGCCTCCCACAGGGGCAATCCTACCCTGTGCTATGTATTGGGACTGCCTAGATGGCAGTGAGTTTCAGTTTTGAGTGCTTCTCAACTCTTACTGTCACCCATTTCTGGAATAGTGTGATTCAGAGCTAGCTAGTGATTTGTTGCTCTGGCTGTGGTCAGCAAACTATGGCTTCATTTAAAAATTTTTAAAGGATATTGTAATGGTGATTTCCTTTGTTTGTAAAAATATATTTATGACTCTCGAGTAATTTTTAAATAGTGTGGGACAGGATTGGCTCTTCCGTCTCCAAAGTTTGCCGTCCCTGCCCTGTGGGAACCCACAAACCGAGAAACCCCACTGCCATCAGATTGGTTCCATCGCGTAGTGATTCTTTAGGTAGGGCAAACTTTTGAGACAGAAGAGTCATTCTTGTCCCTCACAACAATACAAAAAGTATTCAAGAGCCACAAATACATTTATACAAACAGGTGAAATTACCGATATCTTTTACTTCAGAGCCACATGTATGGACCGAAAGCACCTATGACTCGAGAGCCGCCGGCTCTGGAGGGTTTCCAAGACCTTAACTGCTTCATTTTCCTCCCGTGGAGCCGCTGCTGTGTACTGCACACAACCTTGTGGTGTGTAGTCCAGCGCTTTTCCCACAGTCCTGTCAGCGCTCCAAGGGAACTCAACCCAAGCCAGACTCACTGCCACCAGTGAATTCTGACTCACAGCCACCCCGGAGGACCGAATAGAACTGCCTCTGTGGGTGCTTGAGACCGGAACTGTGCAGGAGTGGAGAACCTCATCCTTCCCCATGGGAACTAACACAGAGATAAGTAGTGTAAGACTTGTGCACTGTTTGTGCCTCAGTGCTGCTGCTGTAAAGTGGATAAAGTGAATCCCTAGTCAGATACATGAGATCTGCGGGAATAGCAAAGCGTCCCCTCTAAAGTTGTGCAGTAACCTCTTTACATTGCTGTTTGGTGTCATATGCAGATCTTTGCCTCGTAGTTACGTATTGTGTTCAACTGAAAGAAACTGCACATCCTTGCCTCAGGCTCTAAACCAGTGGTTCCCAACCTTCCTAAGGCTGCCACCCTTTAATACAGTTCGTCATGTTGTGGTGACCCCCCCCCCCCACCATAAAATTATTTTTGTTGCTACTTCATTACTGTAATTTTACTACTGTTATGAATTGGGCGACCCCTGTGAAAGGGTTGTTCGACTCCAAAGGGATCGCAGTCCACAGGTTGAGAACTGTTGCTCTAAACACTGGAAGGTTCCCATGACAGTCTGTGAAGTTACGGGGCTACGCTGGGAAGATCTGTAGTAGCCTTTGGGGGCCCCTCACTTCGCCACAGCAGTACCCATTTTCCTTGGCAGACTTTCCCTGAGTTGCCAATGCTGCTTGGCTTTTGTATTTTCTGCTCTTTAATGTTGATTTATTAATTTCGCTAATTTGTCAGGTATTTATTAGCTCTCCACTAAATGTCAAACAATGCTGGAGGACCAGAAATGTGGCTTTTACAGGGAGAGGTCCTGTGTAATTTGCAGTCAGGATAGCTAATTCAAGTCCACACATTTATTGGACACAGTCATGTGCCTAATGGTTGAAGCTTAGCTGCTCCCTCCAGGGGTTATCCTTGGCACCATCTGAGACCATGTTTTTTTAATGGTACTTGTGTTTTGAAGTTGTTTAATCACGGTCTAAGATTTATTGAGGTCGGTTATGTTGATTACGTTTCTGGAATGTTTTCAGAGCTGCCCCTTCCCTTCCTCCAGCTGTTATGGATGGAATCATGTCCCTGACCCCCACTTCCCCCCAATACAACAACAGCAACTCTAACTCACTGCCATCTAGTTGATTCTGGTTCAGTGTGACGCTGTAGGACAGCGTAAACGGCCCTTTGGATTCCCAAGGCTGTGGCTCATTATGGGAGTAGAAAGCCTCCCCTGCTCCGGTGGAGCACTATTGAGTGTCTAGTGCTTTCCAGCTGCTGACATTCCCTGTGCCCTTGTGCAGGAATACTAACCTGTGTGCCTTTGGGTGTGGTCATCCAGATGGTCATCCAGATATGTTAATAACCTCAGCAGTGTTTTGAATCCCATGACTTTTGAGATGTAAAAAGAGTAGATTAGACATAGAGATAAATAAGAACGTGGGGGGGGGAATAAATGGTTTGTAGGGCTCACCAAGAAACCTGAGAGATTCTAGGACTGGAGAAGCTGAGACAACAATTTTCTCCCAGAGTTCACAGAGAGAGCCTTCTTCTCCAAGATCTGGTGCCTGACTTCATACAAAGTCCAGTCTTCTGAGCTTTGAGAAAATAAATTACTTTATTACAGACACCACTTGTATTTCTTACAGCAGCACCAGCCAACTGTCCATTAACCAGAGAATTACAGTTGTCCTTATCTTGTCCCCTCTGCTGACTTTCTGAGTGATGCCCTCCCAAGTGGAGTGTTATCTTCTGAAGCTGGGGCTTTGTCATCGGGGCCCTCTAGTAGCCCCGAATGCTAGCTTTCATGTAACAACTGGGGCATCTGTGGACAAGACAACTTGTGCCACAGCCTTACTCCCTTCCATGTCTCCCAGCATGCACCAGAGAGAGCACGGGGATAGCTGACCGGCAGATAGTGTCTGTGTTAATGTCACCATCATCAGCCTAGAAGGCCCATTCTTGTCCTCTGTCTCTGTTAAGATAGAATATGGCCGTCAGGGCTTGGGTCAAAGGCCAGCTCCTTTTGTTTTATTTTCCTCATAGCCTCTGAAGAGAAGGAAGATGTAGCTTCCCAAAGTTCATGCACAAATTCCATTATCTTTAAATTTGAATCTTGCAGGAATTTGTTGAAGGCCCTTTTTATTCCTCTTAAAATTTAGTCTTTTGTGCTTGTCTTTCCTAGCCCTCTAATGCAGGGCTGTCAAACTGGTGGGCCTCGGGCTCCATGTGGCCCCGAGGTAATTTTTTGTGGCCCACGATGCTCTGAAATAAAAAGAAAATAGAAAAAATTGTTATGAAGAAAATAGCCCTTAGCTTAAGCCTAAGCTTTTCTTCATAACAATTTTTCCTCTTTTCTTTTTATTTCAGAGTATTGAGGGCCACAAAAATTACCTCCGGTCCTCATGCGGCAGAGGGTGGCCAGTTTGACACGGCTGCTCTGATGGGTGAGCTCTTGGAGGCCAGTTACCTTATCTTCATTGAATATTGGCTACAGTTGGGCTTGCTTTATACATGCTGTTGAATAGTCATGGGGCGTGGGGGTCATGGTGTAATTGGTGGCCTTTGGCATAGAATTTCTAGGGTGTAGGATTTTTCGTCCCCTGGCCCATTGGTGTAAAATGTGTGACCGCGTCCACGTTTGGGTGGATGGGCCTTTGGAGGGTTCTCTGCTCAATCTTCTGTGTAGCCAACCAGGACTCAAATCTGCCTGTATAGCTTGCCAGGATCACTCACCATTGAGGGTCTTGCTTTTCTGATGGTCTGTGGCCTCACCCTTTTTCCCTTTTGGAGCTTGGGTACGGAGCAGTGTTAAAGGAACTTTGTAACACTTGCCCCCTAGCAGGGTAGAGGCAAAATGGCTGATAGGCAGAGGACCAGAGAGAGTCTCGCCTGCAGGTAGAGCTGAGGAGTTGTGCTGTATCCCTCACACTTATAGTTCTAATTGCAATCTGCTAACTCTCCCATCAACCCCATACTGTTGAGTACTGTCTGTGAGTTAATATGCAGGCATTGTAACAGATTACTGACCCAGCAGAGAAGTAGAGTGCTGTGGGTGGGATAGCCGTGTAAGAATAGGGTAAAGGAAGTAGCCCTGTGGAGGCATGTCTGACCTGCCCCATAGGAATTGTCTAGGGCTGGCTGCTGCTGCCGATCCTCCTTGTGAAGTCCAGAGGGTCAGACATGGCCTCTGTCATATTCATAATGACTCACCCATGGCATCTGGGTGTCTCCTGCCTGCTGGGATCCTGTTGGGGACTGGACATGGAAATGAGCACCCTGGCAGTTGAATTGCTGTGTAGCTGCTGGAGGTCCAGCTTCAGGGTAGGTGTGAAGGTGAGGTTACAGATGCTTTTCTCCCATCCAAGTACTAACCAGGCCCCCGACCGGCCCTACTTAGCTTCCCCTATTATGTGAGACCGGGTACATTCAGGGAAGTAGTTTGGATATTTTCTGTTACTTAAAGATTTTTATGTATTCAGAAAGTCAGCAGTTTTGAATGCTTTGTGTTAAGGTTTGCAGTGGTTACACTTTGGGCTGTGGACTGCAAGGTCAGCAGTGTGAAGCCACCAGCTGCCGTTCAAGAGAAAGCCAGGGCATTCTACTCCTATAAAGAGTTAGTCTGAGAAACCCACAGGGGCCGTTCCACCCGGTCCTAAAGGGTTGTAATGAGTTGTAGTCGACTCAGTGGCGTGAGTGTGGTTATTTTGGCTTCTGGGTAGATTGGAACACTTGCCTTTGGGATTTGCCTAGCCTTCCTGAGGACTTCACCATAGCTGGGATCCTGACCTCACCCAAGCTCTGCTGCTCCCTGACAGTTAATACCCTGACCTTCTCTTGTGTCTCTGGTTTAACTGACTTTAGCCTAGGCCATACCTTGTTTCTGATGTGCCTATCTATCTCTCCCAGCTTTCACCAGACAGCAGGATTGACAGCAAGGCTGGTATTGTGACACGCGTTCTATTCTTTATTCTGCTGCTCCCCCTCTATTGCAGGTTCTTCCTGTTGCAGCCGAAGGCCGTGCCTCATGTCCTAATGAAGCCTTAGTCCTCTTGGAAACGAGGTATCCCGGTATCAGCTGGACGGAGCCTGCTGTGCCTTGCTGTTTTGAGGGTGCTTTGGACCCTCCTCTTCTCTGCTGGCTTGAAGGTCCCTCCAGATGGTGGGCCTGTTGTCTTCTGCAGGCACTCTGTGGTTCTACCACTTTGGTGTCTGTAAGCTAGAGGTTAGCCTTGTGGAAAGGTCCTGGAGCCATAAACTCCAGTTTTCTGCTATTCCTGGGGCCTTTCTGATTCCTGCCAGGAATTGACCAAGAATATTTTCGCCTTTGTCTTCACGCATGTTTGTGAGGTGTGTGCTGTGCGCGGCTAAGCCAGTCGTGTCGTGTGCATGTGTAGGGAGTAAGTGGTGGCGGTAACAGTGCCGGGGTGAAGGGAGAAGGGCTCCGCTGATAAGGAATGACTCTGAGGTTCAGCCGTGTTTGGCTCCTGTAAAGTGAGCACCGTACTTACCTCTAACCGGTACTGGTGAATTGCTATCCAGAGAATAACTTTATCACTCCAGGAAATGATCCAAAGAGGGAGTAGTAAATGGTATTAATATGGTTTGCTTTTTTCCTTGGCAGGATAACCAAGTGCTGGGAATTGGAAGTGGTTCTACGATTGTCCACGCTGTGCAGCGAATAGGTATGTTCTGGTGTGACTACTGGCCACTGTGTGTGAGCTGATGGGGGCTGGGAGGTACAAGAGGAAGAGGAACTGGGGCACAGTTGGCATCTGCCCCTCGTGGCTCCAGTCCAGGGCTAGGAGAGGGGCTGCCTACTTGCCATGAGGTCTGTTAAGTTTATTTGCTCTTCTCTGCTGAGAGGGATTCACGAGCCTCTTCAGTCTCCTTTAGGGATTGCCATGGTTTTGTGGACTCAGCTCAGCCGAGGGGAGGAACTGACTGAAAGAGTGAGCGCTCAGCAGAATTCTAATCCTTGTGGGGTCATGCTAAGGTGACCTGGTGGTGTAGTACTGGGTTCTGAGTTGGGCTGCTAGCTTCACAGCACCAGCTGATCCATAGGAGAGCGATGAGGCTTGCTACTCGGTAACAAGGCCGTTCAATCCTGTCTTAAGTCAGTGACTCTGGGGGTCACCCCATCCTGGTTGGTGTGGTGCTTATGTTCTGTATGACCTTAGACCTCCTGGCAGGCCCTTTGAAGCCTGTGGGTTTCTCAGGCAATCCCAGGCAAACAGGCTTAGGTCAGAGTGGGTATTTGCCCTGTCAGTGACCCCAGGGTGGAGGTAAGGCTCCTATACAGTTGGTGGCTGGTTCTGGCAGGTGCTAGCTCAGTGCTTAGGAAAAGCTTAGGAAGTACCACCCTTGTGGCTGCTCAACAGGTTTGACTGCCCAGCTCTTGTTTGTAAGAAGAAAGCCTAGGCTCCCCTGAATGCTGATCTCACCTTTTAGATGCCAAGGGCAGGGCCTGGGAGGCAAAGTCCAGGAAGACTTTATTCTTAAGGAGGTGTTGCAATGATAGCGTGACAAGGCATTTTTACCCCTTAAGATGTTTGAATAAATCAAGCTTCTGAGGTCAAATCCAAAATGAATGGATGAATGGATGCCCTTCTAAACACTTTCTGGGGCACACAAATGATTATTTACTTATTTTGTTAAATGCGGAAGTTAAGTTCTAGTTATTCCGTAGAAAAGACACTAGAAGGTAGTAGTTGTTAAGGTAGTGGAACTAGGCAGCTTGGGCTCTTATGCAAGCTCTGTGCTTAGCACCTGCATAACCAACAGGTTAATTCACTTCCATGTGCCTCTCAGTTCCCTCATCTATTAAGTGGGGAGAATAGTCATCAGTCACTTTTTGAGTGCTTGGGATGAACAGTTCTTATGTACCAAGTTCCTAGCCAGTGCCCACTAATAGCAAGCACTTGGCTTTTCCTGTGGTGTGAGGGAAGTGTGGGCACCAGCCTTTTCTCCAGATGAGGGACAGGGAATGAAAGTCAGCCAGCAGTGGAAGATAAATTTTCTTCTTTTTTAAAATCATTTTATTAGGGGCTCTTACAGCTCATCACAATCCATATATCCATCCATTGTGTCAAGCACATTTGTACATATGTTGCTATCATCCTTTTCAAAACATTTTCTTTCTACTTGAGCCCTTAATATCAGCTCCTGATTTCCCCCACTCCCCTCCCTCATGAACCCTTGATAATTTATAAATTATTATTTTCATATCTTATTATTTTAAGATAATTATTTAAAATTGTTGCTTTTTTCATGCCTTACACTGACTGCTGTCTCCCTTCACCCACTTTTTTGTTGTCTGCCCCTCCACCCCTCGGAGAGGGGGTTATATGTAGATCATTATGATTGGTGCCCCTTTTCTTCCCCCACCTTCCTCTTACCCTCCTGGTATCACTACTCTCAGTATTGGTCCTGGGGGGTTTGGAAGAAGCACACCAGCTTGTGTTTATGAGGTGTCGATGGGATCAGGCATCAAAGACCCAGAACAAAAGATCATATCAATGTGAGTGAGGGGATGTGTGAGTAGAGACCCAAACCCCATGTGTAGACAATGGGACATCCCCTTACAGAAGGGTCACAAGGAAGAGACGACCCAGTCAGGGTGCAGTATAGCACTAATGAAACATGCATGACCTCAGTTTTACCTAACAGTTCCGGCTAGACCACAGCATGTACACTGGTACGGGAATCCAGGACAGATAAACTTTATTAACTACTGGATTTGAACAAGCCTTAAATGTGGTAAGAAAAATCAAGGGAGGAGGCGTATGTGAACTACTGAATGCAGACTGATGGTCTGTTTTATAAATTTTCACCTAATTCACATTAACAAGTTTTTTAAGAAAGAAAAAGTTAGGAGATTAAAAACAAACAAAAACAACCCACCAACTCTGCTTCCTTCCACAGCTGAGAGAGTGAGAGAAGAGAATCTGAACCTGGTGTGCATCCCCACTTCCTTCCAGGTAAGCCTGTCTGTCTGTCCTGGCCCTGCGGCAGCCTGAGGGTGTGGGTGTGGCTTTGGGTTGCATACCTTCCTGGTTCTAAGTGAAAGAGCCTGGAGTAGGAGAGAACCTTATAGTGTTGCTGCTTGGTCGTCCGGTTTTAGATTTCATTGACATCTTCACCCAGTGGGGTCTACTGTAAGACCGTGGGCCATGCTGAAGTTACCACAATTTCTACCTTCAAAGCGTGTTTTCCCCATTGAACCGACCAAACTCACTGCCACTGTCAATCCTGTCTTAGGGCGACCCTATAGGACAGGGCAGAGCGAGCCCTGTGGGTGTTCCAGACAGTAACTCTTCACAGGGGTTGACAACCTCACCTTTCTCCCACAGAGCGACTGGTGGTTTTGAACTGCTGATCTTCAGGTTAGCAGATTATTAGAGATGAGACAGTGGAGACAGAGAGGAATGACATGATCTGTCAGGAATGCACGTAGAGTAGTTTGAGTCCTTGTCTGATACGCTTTCATCCTAGAGGCTGGAGGGGAGGGGAGAGTGGTGGAGCCAGTTAAATGTAGGGAAAGTTGAGGACAGTCAAACTCCAGCAAGCTCACTGCCACTCCAACTCAGGGACCCTATAGGGTAGTCAAACTGTGGGCTTCTGTGGGAATAGAAAACCTTGTCTTTGTCCCAGAGTGACTGGCCCAGCGTGTAGCTGCTGTGCCATCAGGGCTCTGAGCAGACTTTGGGAGATGGAAAAGGAAGAGAGGTGCTCAGCGCTGAGAGAGCCCCTCCTCTCCTTCCTGAGGGGGGCCCTCCTGATTGGGAGTGGCTTGTCTAAAGTATTTCGTTGGAGTCTCAGGGTGGCGCCAGGAACTGAGCAGATTGGACTTGCAGATGGTTGATCCTCTTGGGACTTTGTGGACTTAGTTTTGGAAATTGGGCCAGGCCTTAAGAAACCCTGCCCTTGTTGGAGGCATGAGCAGCTGAGTGGGGCAGCCAACTCTGGTGAAGAGAGAAAGGTGGCAAGGAGCCCCCGTGTTGCTTCTAACCCAGGCCGTGGCCCAGCCTCAGACTAGGGTTTCTAGGGGCAGGGACTCCAGGGAAACAGGATAGGGAGCGAGCAGTGCCTGCTGACAGAGAGCCTCTTTGATGTGAAGTCTCTTGGGGACCTTGAGTGAGCTAGGTCAGCAACCAAGGGGCTGGAACTGATACTGTAGTTCCTGCTGTGAAGAGACACGAGGGTCAGAGTGGCTTGTGGTGGATTCTCTTGGTCTTTTGGATAGCGAAACACACAAAAATCCACTGCATCAAGTCAATTTTGACCCATGGCGACGCTGTAGGGCAGGGTAGACCTGCCCCTGTGGGTTTCTGAGGCCGGAAGTCTTTAGGGGGTAGAAAGTCATCTTTCAGGACGCCGCTGGTGGCTTCAAACTGCTGATTGTGCAGTTAGCCCAGTGCTGGGCCCACTCTGCCCCAGCGCTCCTTACTGGAGAGTGTGTACTGTCCAGTTTTTCCAAGTGAGCGCACCATCTAGTTATTTCTGAATAAAATTCTTATATTGTCTTTTAGTTTGAATCAGTGTTACACGTACATGTGGATTAAGGAATCCGGCAATTCAGATCTTTTTCCTTTTAAGCAGCTTTATTAGGACATAATTCAAATATCGTACAATTCATCAGTCATATCAAGAAGTTTAACACAATCATTACTGCAGTCAATTTTAGAACATTTCTTCTTTTTTCCTGTATTTTTTGCTATTAGCTCCCCATTTCGTCCTAACCTCCCCTACCATCCCCCCAAGGAACCATTACTCCATCTACTATCTCCAGAGTCACCCAGCCTGGATTTCATAGACCCCCAAACATAGACAAAGATAAAACTAAGAGTCAAAAAGCTAACAATAACAAAATAAAATGAGAAAATCCACACGGAAAGAAAATAGAAAATATTGAAAGCTACAACAACTTTAAAGCATGTCAAAAGAGACCAAATGATAAGGTGTTACATTTTAACCTAGTTATAGCATTCATAATCTACACTTTAAGTATCCCGCCCCCTACCATTTATTGCTCGTAAGAGGAACATACCTTTAGTTCCTTGGCTATTTCTTCCGTATCTCAGGACCCGCTAAAACACGCGGTCTGCTTTTTCAGCTTTTGCTGCTCCTTCTAGCCCCGCTTTCTGGGAGGCTGGACGGTGACCTCCTGGCTCACAGGACAGGCACCCATCGCCTCCAGACTTCCCAGTGTAGTTAAACTTGGGTTGGACCATTTCTCAGTGTTTTACAGAATTGTGATGTCAGACTTCAGCCAGACCAGCCACTCTTCTTTACCTGCCCATTGTTTTGTTCTTCCCTGAAGTTAACTGTTGTCTGTGTTTTCAAATGCTTGGTTGTCTTTGCTTCCTCGTTCAACCCCACACTTTTACTCGAACCTCCCAGACGCAGACAGTGGTGCTCTGCCCCATCACTCATCCTCACAAATTCTCCCTGCAGCCCAGAGATTGGCCGCTGCTGCCCTCAACTGTAAATCGTGTGTGTGTGTGTGTGTGTGTGTGTGTGTGTG